CCACTTTCGTGGGCTCCTGGGAGGCCCAGCGGAGAACCGTCTTAATCGGAGCACCTCGGGACCTCGCCGACCTCCGGGGGGGTCTTGCGATCTGCGCAACTGTCGCCACTTTCGTGGGCTCCTGGGAGGCCCAGCGGAGGTACGTCATACGGGACCACCTCGAGACCTCGCCGCCCCCGGGGGGGCTTGCGATCTGCGCAACTGTCGCCACTTTCGTGGGCTCCTGGGAGGCCCAGCGGAGGTACGTCATACGCGCCCTTTTGTGTTCACTTGTTGGGCGCGTTTCTTTCAACGCCCCTTTGTTTCCATTTTGTATATTTGCCGTTCCTCTTCTTGCTGCGCTCTTCTGAAATCACTGCTGGGTGCTCTTCTTGCGCACTGCGTGTCCTTCAGAATGCCAGTCAGCATTGAGTGGTCCTGAGTATAATCGCCACATGTATAGAGAAAGGGTTGGGTACGTCACAGGGTAATTCAACTGTTTTTGAACACTCCTCGTGTGGAGGGCCTTGCCCGACTTAACCTCAGCCGCCCTCAGGGTCTCTTCGGGCCGCCGTGGAACCGTTCCGGGCCGCCCGTGACCCTCCCGGGGCGCTTGGAGCTCCGCCTCCTGGGCCGCGAGCCAGTGTGCGCACCACGGGCCACCGTTGTACGCACAGTGAACCGACTTCGCTACGGCACGGCTGCATGCGCGCATTGAGCGCAACGCCCGTCCTCACCGTTGGGCCGGGGCCTTCCGCTGGGGCTGCAAGGGGGAGCCTCGGCAACACCGAGCCCCCTGCAGAGCAGCAGGTGCTCCTTCTTTCGACGCCCAGCCTGGGAGGAAGAGAGGAGGAGGAGGAGGACGAGGAGGAGGAGGAGAAGACGAAGGAGAACGAGAGGCGAGAGTCATCAGTTGGTTGGGACTCCAACTGAGAATGGCAAGGGGCGCTTCCTGTTGAGGCCGTCGCAAAGAGCGTCGATCCGCCTCGCAATCTTGCCCAGGTCTGTGGCCTCGCAACGGTGAGAGGAGGGGCAGGGTGAGCAGGGAAAGGGGGAGGGAGGGGAAGGATGATGGCTGGGGGGCGAGGGGAAGGGGTCAGAGATGGAGGAGGAGGAGGAGGAGGAAGAAGAGGAGGATGAGGAGGATGAGGAGAAGGAGAAAGAAGAGGAGGACGAGGACGAGAGCAAGAATGAGGACGACGACAAGGACAACGACGAGGACGAGGACGAGGAAGAGGACGAGGACGACGACGATGGCGTCGTCGCCAGAGGCCCAGAGGAGCTACGTAAAAAAAGCGAAAGCCGTCCGAGAACCTCCAGCATAGACCTCCGAAAGCCCCCCCCTTCGGATGCTGCCAGCGGGGGCCGTTGCCCACGGTGGCCCCGAGCTCTTCCAGGGAAGCTCAGACCTCCTCCTCCCCCTCCTCCATCCTCCCCTCCTCCTCCTCCTCCTCCTCCTTCCTCCTCCTCCTCCCCTCCCCCCTCCCCCTCCTCCTCCTCCTCCTCCTCTCCTCTCCTCCTCCTCCTCCTGCGTCTCCTCCTCCTCCTCCTCCTCCTCCTCCTCCTCCTCCTCCTCCTCCTCCTTTCCAGCGTCCAGAGCATGCGCCACCAGGCCCAGGAGGGCCCAGGGGGGGCCCAAATGGCACGAAGAGCTGGGGACACCCTGGGCCAGGAGTACACCTCGGTGAAGGCCTCCCAAGAACGAATCGGAGCACGTGGTGTCGGAGGATCGCGCCGCATCGTCGACGCATCGGCGTCGTCGATGTGAAGAAACTCGCGCTCCGGAGCGCCCCGCATCGTCGATGCGTCGGCGACGTGTCGCGGTCCCCCGACTCATGGGAGGCCTGGCCCCTGGCAGCCTCCAGACGCCCGGCTGAGAGGCCCAGACTCGGAGGCTGCCAGAGTCCAGGCCAGACTCCAGCGTTGGCAGCGCGCAGAAGGGGGGCATGGGGCAGGGCGGAGGGCTTCTTAGAAGGAGGCCGCTGCTTAGACGGCGCGGGCCCTGCATCTGCAGGCCAGGCCCGCGCCTCCTAAGAAGCGGGGGTGCTTCCAAGAAGTCCTCCCCTCTCCCCCTGACCCCCCTTTTGCGCGTGGCCAACAGTTGAGCAGGGACCGACCGTCCCGGCATTCCTAGAGACCTACCACGACATGCTCTTAGAACCCAAAAATGTCTTCATAACAAGAACATAAGCCCGATGTGTCAAAACAAGACAGTCCCAGCCAGAACTGTTCTAGAAACATTTCGTGGAAACCACAAAAGGTTCTTAGAACCTTGTTTGGTAGGCCTATAGGCCCGCCAGGACGCTTCGCCACTGCTTGACAACCTCCGCCTGGGAGGCCCGGACTCGGAGGCTGCCCATAGCCCCGGCGGGGCTCTGCCGGACTCTCCGACGCCCCCTGGCGCGCAGGGGGGCCGGCCTGCGACAGCCCGCTGCGCTTGACGACGGTCGTCTCTGCCGCCATTGCTGCCCGGGGAGCGGGCGCGGGCGCGCGGCGAGCGGGCGGAGCTCTGGCGAGGGCCGCCCGGCGCCGGCGCCGACGGCCGCCGAGAGGCCGCCAGAGCGTCCTCTTCTCAGGAGGGCCCTCGCGGGGCCCCACGAAGGCCCTCCTCCGCTTTCTCCTCCTCCTCCTCCTCCTCCTCCTCCTCCTCCGCCGCCGCCGCCGCCGCCGCCATCGCCTCCTCCGCGGCCGCCGCCTCCGCCTCCTCCTCCTCTTCCGCCTCGTCCATCTCCTCCGCCGCCGCCGCCTCCTCGGGCTTCCCCCTCCTGCTCCGCAGGGATTGCCCGACTCGAGGGTGGCCCGGGTCTGCTAGGGGCCTCCTCAGGAGCCGCTCGGTGCGATAAACTCTTGGCAGTTGCATGGTCGCCTCGAGCGCGATGAATAGACGTGCTCCGAATGCCACGTGACTGACCGCTGGGGTACTACACCTGACCGCTGGGGTACTACACAGAAAGGCTACTGGTGCAGGAAGCACCGGCCACCTCTTTGAGAAAGTCTGCACAGAGAAGGCTGAGGCGGTGCCAGAGGAAATGGATGACGCGAGCGCCTCAGATGAGGCCACGTCTGACAGTGGGGCACAAGCTGGAGATCTACCGCGCTCGACTCAGAGATCTCCAGAAGCTCGCCTGGGAGCCAAGCATGGAGTTCGCGCCAGATGTCATGTCCAAGCTTCACGAGAAAATCTACGTGATGGTGGCAGAGAAGGAGGCTTCCCTCCCCGAGTGCTATGCTGAAGTGGCAGTGCGCCGACGACTGCGGCAGGCAGAGAAGTTACAGAGACAGCGGACACCTACGTGGAGAAGCTGCGAAAGGACAGGGGGAGCTGGATACCCAGCTCAAGAGTGCGGAGACCAAAGCGGCCAGTATCCAAATGGTATCGGCGATCAAGGAGAAGGGAGATCAGCTGACGAGGCCGTCCACAGGCCAAGGCTGGGAGTGACTACGTGACAAGCCCCCCCCAGTACTGGTCCCGGCCCCCCCCTGGGAAAAACGAAAACGGACCTCCCTGACCAGGGCGCGGGAAAGAAACCTGAGACGAGGAGCGGTGGGCGGAAATGCGAGGCAAACGCCGCACCTGAGCGCTCGAGAATTTGGCTCGGAGGAAGATGAGGAGGAGGAGGGAGAAGGAGAGGAGGAAGAGGAAGAGAAGGAGGAGGAGGAGTCAAGGTCGGAGGGGGAAGAAGGAGGAGAAAAGAGAGGAAGGAATTGGTGGATGACAAGCTAGACGGAAACAAGAAAATGAGCGGGCGGGCAGCAGCGCCCGAAAGCGAGCCCGAATCTTTTCACCTACCTGAGGCTGGGCATCCCAGCGTCGCTCGCACGAGCTCGAAGCCTTGGGCATCGGGCGCAAGCTGGAGGTGAGAAGGTTGAGGTAGGTTGGAAAATCGAGGAGAGAGACAGAGAGAGATAGTAGAAGCACCGACGGCCACGGCGCAGCAGCGGCGAGGAGGAGCGTCAGTCATCGCTGTCATCGTCATCATCCCCCTCCGATCCCGCGCCCCCCTATCCCCCCTCATCGTCCTCATCGGGCCTGCCAGAGGCCCGCCAATGGGGCCCCCGATCGCTCGCTGCTGCACTCTGCCGCCTACGCGCCCGCCCTTCCTAGTCGGATGCTCGCGCGCCCTAGCTAGTCAGACGCCGTCTTGGCCTTCTTGCCGCTGCCAGCTGGACCACCACCTGAGAAGTTGCGCTTGGGCTGACGCTGCGCTTTGAGCTGCTCGATCTCGCGCTTCTGATCTTGGATCGTCTGGTTCGCGTATGCGAGATCGGCGTTCATCGAGTCGATCGTCATTTGCAACTCGAGGCAGCGCAGCTCGGACTGATCGTACCACTTCGCGAGGTTCTCGTTGCGCTCACGCTGGGTCTGCGTCGCCTTCGATCGGATCGGCAATGCAGACCCCCCTCGCAACGGGCCCGTCCAGGGCCCCTCCGAGGCCGCTCCAGCCCCATGATTCGAGCCGCGCCCAGCCGTGGCGACGACGCCGCCGATGCACCACGTGCTTCCAAAAGAGAGCCCCCGATCGCCGTCTTGAGTGCAGCGATCGCCACATCGATGTCCTTCATGACGGCCGAACTCATTGAGTACTCCCATGCTGGGAATCCCGTGGCCATACTGGGGACGCGCGGGGGGGCGGCAATCCCTTTTGGAGGCCTCAATGCTGCGACGGCGCCGCCGACTCATCGTCATCATCACGCTGCCCGTCGCTCTGGACTTCCCTCCTCGCCCTCAGCCTCGCCCTCTTTCCTCTGCTGCCGCCCCCCCTCCATCCCCCCCCCTCCTCGGCTGTCACCCCGCCGCCTCCATCGTGCCCCATCCTGCCGCCCACGTCGCAAACCCCCACCCCTCGGCAAGAACAGCACCACCCCTTGACAACGCATCGGGCACTGAAGACACAGAAAACGCACGGGGAAACGCTCGGGCGAACACTCTAAGCACTCAAAGTACACTAAGCCTTGTGCGCTCCCCCATCGGGCCTCGGGCACGCAGGCGTTTTCGAATGCCGACGGGGCTCTGAACGCCCGATCCGATCACTTCCCTGCACGACGGCCGCCAGAGCGCACGCGCTCCCCCGAGCGACAACGCAACGTCAGACCACCGTGTCATCCCCGACCCCCGCGCTGGCGCCAGCACACCTAGACCTTCTTGTTAATCCTCGAGGCGTCATCCTGGCTCTGCAGCCGCTTGCGCTTGCTGGAGTTCTCGGGGTCCTTCGGGCGGGAGGCGGGGCGGGGGAGGCGGCAGTGTCCTCCCCTTACCCCTCGCGACTAAACCAGATCCCCAAACCCATGCCCTTCCTCTACCCCCTCCCCGACCCGCTACCCCCCCACCCCCCCCCCCCCCCCTCCCAAGTCTCCACATTCCACGTTCCTGACCGCCACCCCCCCCCCCCCCCCCCCCCCCCCCCCCCCCTCATGCGCTCTTGGCCCCTCGCCTCCCCCCCCCACACAAACGCCCCCGCTCGCGGCTCCCAGCGCCCCCTCAACCTGCTCTGAGTCAAGGCGGTCCTTGGGGTTGCTCTTGGACACCGCCAGCGCGCGGGGGACCTGAACGTCGACCTCCCCTTGGATCACATGCTGGATGCTCGCCTCCACCCACGACTCCGTCAACCCGAGCAGGCTGTTGATCACTTCCATGCAGCAGTCGCGCTTGATCACGTGCCTGAGCCTCATCATCTCCTTCGGCGCCCACTCCAGCAACGCCCACTTCACGTCGGCAAGCAAACCGTTCAGGTGCATCACTCTGACGGCGGCCCCATGGGTCGACATCCCTTTGACCACCATCAGGTCCCAGCAGCCCTCATCAGCGGCTTTGAACTGCTCAGTCTTGCCGTTCCGCGGGAAATATACTGGAATACTTCGGGTTGGCCACCAGCCCGATTCGCACCACCCCGTGACTGAATTATTTGGGCCGTAGCCCAACTCGGAGCCCCACAACATGATGGCGGTCCACTCCATGATCGTGTCGCGGTCGGGAACCACCGTGAGGCCGAGGCGGCCCTTCCCCCCGTCGATGTCCCCGTAGTCGGAGCTCTCGAAGTCGGGGCCCCGCACGACGCACTGGCCGTAGTCGTAGGGCTGGCACAACCTCAGCCTGCCCTTGGAGTAGAAGTCCTCGGAGCGGGCGGCGAGGCGCACTAGAGGTAACACATCGAGCAGCAACGAGCAACTGTCGCCCGACGCGCGGGGGCGGGGCAGAAGCGAGCGGGGCGGGGGAAGGGCGGGCGGGGATAGCAAGGCGGAAAACTGTCAACTACCATCACCGCCCACACTAAGCCCAAACATGAACGCATGGCCGACGCGCACACCTGAAACCATGGTGCGGAACCAACCACGCCATGCGCTAACCGATTGCCCATGTCTAAGCAACTGATTACCCCCGTACCTCCGTGCAAAGGCCGTTCACCACTAACGAAAATAAAGGCACTAGCACATATTGCATAAAGGCAATCCTCGATGTCGATAACGTCGGACGTGCCGATGGGCAGGAAGTAGGCCATAGCGCGCGGCGCTAGCCGCTCTTTATCAAGTTGGAAAGGGCGGCCAACAAACCAACCGTTCTCTGAGCAATGGAGGCGAATCGAAAAAAACCTGAATGCCATGTCAGCTCGGCTTGCGCCCAGACGAATCGGCGATCAAACAAATGCACACGCGACCCCGCCTGCAACGCGCACACGTGCCAAACCTCACCTGCAATACATACACACATGTCAAACGAGTGCTACCCGCCAGTCAATGGAGGTGGAGGGTCGAAGCATTTCCATCGCTCGGAGTAGCCCTGTCCGAGCAATATCACCACTGTGCACGGGTCGCACGCGCGCCCGATGCGACGCTGGCTGCAGGGCAGTCTGCGCGCGCCCGCGCACACGCAACGCAAGCCGACGGGCGAGGAGGCGGGCAAGCAGCCGCCCCCCGCCAAAAAAAAACTGCGAAGGTCTTCACCATCCAAACTCTCTGCTCCACTCCATCCGTGCCCCCATCCTGCCCCTAAGCACCCGCTGCGACCCCGCCCATGCCACCCCCTTTCTCCTAGCCGCATCGGCGGCCCCCCATCCCGCACCAACCCGACCCGCATGCATTAGTTAATGATACCCATCCCTGCGCCCCTCCCATCCGACTGTCGACCGCACTTCCCCGCGCCCCGTCCCGTGAGCACTACGCACCCCATCCTCGCACCTCCTCCTGTCCAACCTCCTCCCGTTGACCTTCCCCCGAGTCGGGCCCGTGCACGGGCCCGTCGCCGTCGGCGCGCTTGCCCCCGTGCGGGGCCACGCTGGAGCGGGCTACGCCTTAGGCGTGAACAGCCCCGCAATCGGGCAATGCGCCAGAGGCAAATTGTGGTGTTCGAGGAATCGCTCCCAACACCGCCTCGAACAGTCAAGCATTGCCCTCGCAGAATCCCCCCCGAACCGACTCCATGGCGCGGAGCCTTTGAACTTCAAAAGGGGCATGTGATACCTCCAGGCCCCAGCGGCGTTGGCACGCCAAATGTATGCCCCAGGAGGCATGTAACCCCGAGCATCTTTCTGGGGCAAACCATTCAAAACTTCGGGGAGCTTGGGAAACTTCAAACCGTGCAAAGGGTGATCCTTACTGTTGAGCGCGGGCGCCTTCCCCTTCACCTTGACCTTATGCAGCCCAGGCCAGCGCCCGCAACGAGCCACTCTCACGCGGCTGACCGCAATGCTCCGCGCGATACGGGAAGGGGCAACGGGGGGCGGGGGCGAGGGTGACGAAACAAACCAAGATCACACAACAGATTCGGGCGCATGGCGACACGGCAACGCGCAGGCAAAGCTGTCCAAGGAGGGTGAACGAGGCAAGGGTAGAAGGCGGGCAGCGACGGAAGGGAGGGGTGGGGGGAACCAGAGGGGCATGTCAATAGCGAAGGGGCGGATGGGCGGGCGATCAACGACGGGGAAGGAGCGGAGGGGCAGCGAGGGGGAGGCAAACAGCGACGACACTAAACAATTGACCCAGGCGCCACCAAGCCCCGAGCCTTGAAGACGCTGACCTCGTTGCTGAAGTCAGCGCGCGAGGCCTTGTGGGACTTGGCGGACTTCGCCTGGTCGACGATCTCCTGCGCAGTCGCAGCGTCCAGGCAGTCTGCCACCCACTCCAGGTCGATCAGCTCCTCGAACCCTTCGTCGGCGTCGAACGTGCCGAGCCTCAACTCCAAAATCTGGAGCAGGTCTTCATCGGTCACCCCCACTATCAGGTTCTTGCACAGGCACATCAATAGAGACGCCAACGTCGTGTTCTCGTACTCGTACTCTCTGAAATCCGCTAGCTCTTTCAGCCAGCTCACCGATAGAGACCAAAACGCACATCTGGCAGCGGTCTCGAGAAGGGGCCGCGGTGTGTCGGCGGGGGCCGCCGCGATGAAGAGGTCCCCGTACGTGACGCTTCCTGGCACGCGCGCGGCCGCGGCGGCAGGGGGGGGGCGGGGGGGGGGGGGGTTGGGGGAAGGGGGGGGGGGCGGACCGGGGGCGACGGCGAGGTGAGGGAGCGGAGAAGAACGGGCGGGAGAAGGGGGGGATGAGGCGGCATGAGGGAGGAGGAGGATGGGGGGAGGCGAGGGGGATCAGGAGGAGGGGGCACGCGACAGGCGTCAGAGGGAGGACGAGGAGGACGAGGAAGGAGGAGGATGGGGATGGGGGGAGGCGGACGCGTAGGAGGAGGAGGAGGCGGAGGCTGAGGAGGATGAGGATGCGAAGGATGAAAGGGGCTACGCTGCGAAGAAGCACGCATGCGCGGCCTTCAGGTGCACTGGAGTGGCGACCCCCTTCTCACCCTCAAGCTTGGAATACTCAATATCAATGGCCTGGCGCATGGGGGACTTCCAAAGAATCGGAACTGCCTCCCATTCAGACGGTTCAAGCACAACATGAAGTTGGCGCGCTTGGTAGCTGTCCGCGACGTGCAGGTTCGGCGCGACGAGCTTGGCTGGCCACGTCGCCGCAAGACCTGTGCCCAAAGAACCCATGCCAAACAGCCAATCGTGAGTCCCCACCTTCCGAAGAAGGATGTTTTTGTTCACGAGCTGCGCGTAGAACTGCCTATCCAGAATGCCCATCCGTCCTTGCTGATGCGCCTGTCTGCAAACCTCGAGGTCCACCAGCGGGTCCGTCATGCCAGACGCGGTGGGGGAGTGCCACGCTGCATCAGCACATGTGGCCACCCTGTGGATGCCGAGCTGGCGGGTAAGGTCGCCCAGCTCCTTCTTGATGAGCTTCGGCTTGTTGGCAGTGGAGGACAGCCCCACATTGCGCTCAAGCTGTGCATCATTCTTGCTGACCTCCACGAAATGATGTGTTTCTGAAATAACTCTACTATCCACTGCTGTCGCATGCATCGATCGGGCACACGTCAAAGAATTCTGCTGCTTGGACACCTTCGCATTGCACTTATTGAACGTGTCCTCAACGATCTGGCCGGTAATGAAGCGCCTGGCCTGCTCCTTCACGTGCCTCTCCATCCCGGGGTGCTCGGGCGGGCAGGCGAGGGGGGGGGGGCGACGGGGCAAGCAAGGAGTGAGGCGTGCAACGAGACAGGCCGAGAGAAGACGCACCGCAGCACGGCCCCCCATGGCGAAACGCATGCACAACACAACCCGATGACCTGCACGGCGCGGGGGGGGGGGGCACGCCTAAACTTACTCCTGCACCTGCAAGCGCGCTGCAATTCAATGGGCAAGCACGGCGTGCAAGCGTCGAGCATTCCTTGGTGTCACGGCCCAGCCTTCCCTGGCCAAGCACAGGCACAACTGCTGGACCGATGCCTTGTTGAAAATGCTCCGCTTGGTCATCAAGCGGGCGGTGTCGCAAGCTGAACCCTCCAAGTCATCAAACAAATGCATGTCTGTCCTCAATTGGGCGATGAACGCTGGCGCATAAGTCGGGTCCAACAGAAGGATCTGCCTTCGCGGCAATGAATGTGTCAATACTAGATTTCTTCTGATCAGTTCCATTGATATACTAAACGACAGCTCGACAACCAAACCTGCAAGATAATCTGTCTGCTCAATCCGCGGATGTCCTACGCATGCGTCGCTCTCCGACCACTTCGTCTCGACCCCCATGCTTGCGAACCACTTGCGCATAGATGGCACCATCATAGATAATTGTTCGCACCTGCGCACCTCGCCTTGCATCATTTTCATCTCCCAGGTGGCGGGCGCGTCGACATCCCGCAGAGCTACACTTTGCCTCTGAGGACGTCGCCTAACCCTCGGGCCCCCTGCCCGCCACGGCCCACATATCTCGTGACTCCGTCTTCTCCCCCTCGTCCTCCTCCTCCTCCATCTCCTCGCTCCTCCCCTCGCTTCTTCCCCTCATCCCTCAGCCTCCTCCCCCTGTTCCTACTCCTCATCCTCCTCGTCCTCGCCATCATCACCCTGCTCGTCCCCCTCAGCCCCCTTCTCTTGGCCCCCCCCCCACCCGCCCCCCCCCCTCCTCCATCTCCGCCCCGCGCCCCCAATCCTCATCCCCATCCTTCCCCGCCCCCAACCCCCGCCCCCACGCGCAGACGAAAGAAGGGGATTCCAAGGGGGCGGGGGGGCGATGGCGCGGATGCGGGGAGGGGGGGCGGGGGGGGGGGGAGGGCGAGGGAGCGCGGGGGAGTGGGGTGTGAGAAACGGAGAGGTTTGGTTCCAAGGAGTGGGGCACGCGCCTGCTGTGCAGATTTGAAGTCGGCATCAATGTGCATACGATGGCCCTCTGAATGCGATAATTAATCGGATCCCCAAACAAATATGCTGCTTTGTCCAATTGGTTCTGGCACTGGATACCCCACCCCGCGAACTGTTGTTGTTTCAAGGTTAGCTTCTCCGCTGGAACTGCACCCTCTGCCGTGGGCTCCTTCAACGCTGGTGCCATCCTCCTGTCGATACCCTTGTGTCCTAAATACAATGCTGCAACATTCCAAAAATATGCTTTGAGCGCAAACCAACACAATGTCTTATTCGCAATGATAACGGGCTGTTGGTACTTGCCCATGTTGACACGACACCCTTTGCTCTGAAGAAGGCGATGCGATGGCAAATCGCGCCAGAATGCGTCAACCTTGTCGGGCGTGCTCAAGTCCACCTGTGGGAGGTCAGGCGGAAGGGTGGGAGGGTGGGTGGAGGCGTCTCGTCGTCGTCGTCGTGGTCGCTCTTGCGGTCGTCGTCGTCGCCGTCGTCGTCGTCGTCGCGCTCGCCCTAGGGCCCGCCGTCGTCGTCGTCGTCGTCGTGGCCACCGAATGGCGAGGGGGCAACTGCGGGAGGAAGCAGGGGCGCAGGCAGAGCACGGCCATATCAAGCGACGTGGACGGGCGAAACGACGCAAGCACCGCCAGGGCGAACTGCCCCGCGGCCCGAACAAGCGGCGACGCCGCCCCACATCCAATCGAGACCGCGAGGTCTGCGGAGCCGCCGAAACGAGCGGGGGTGGGAAGGGGGATGAGGGTGCCACTGCAAGCAAGCACAAGACAACCATTCGCTGTGGAATCGGGCGAAGCAGAAAACGGAAATGAAGGATGCCAAGAGTTGCAAATTGGAAGCATCATGCCTAAGACAAAAGAGCCCACCGATAGTTGTTCTTTCATGAGCGGCAAGTACAATTGGAAGAGCGTGTCCGAATCAACACTGTTGGACTTGATGTGCTCAGTGACAGCTCCGACAATCTGAGCAAGACGTGGCGGGGATAACGTAGACCCATATACACAATTTTGAGCAGCAACCATCAGAACTTTGAATTTGTAGAGACCAGTAGCCCTGGAGCGAGCGGCGCGCGCGCAAATGTCACTGGAACGGGCGAGCAGATTGCGCGCCGACCTCACAATCCTACCACGCGTGCTGCAGGCGCGTGCGATGCTCATGCATGGAACCATGCGAGTCTCACAACATGGACAAGCAAGAAAGCAAGCAAAGACAATAAAAGAGAACTCCTCAATGCTCCCTTGGACGCGTTCGACAGATAATGAGATATATCATATTCAGTCTGCATGTTCAGCCCCAACTCATACGTACAAAAATGATCACACGCGGTCATGTCTGGACCCGAGTCTGTACTCACGGATAAGTAAGGCCATTCAAAAGGGTCCCCCTGGAGAGACCCGTCATCTGGACTGCGTGGGATTTTGAACGTGGCCAACGTCATACAAGTGCTGTGGCGCAGCATGTTGTCGATGAAATGACACATCTGGAATGTTTTCAATCTGCGCCTTTTTTTTGGTCGAGCACAATCCTTAGCGCCTGGCGCTGCCACGTGGCCCAGCTTGCGTTTCACCACCGTCCTCTGGGCAGCGCGCGGCAAGCGGGCTGAAAGGGGGGGCGGAGGATAGAGGAGAGAGGGGGAGGAGGAGGGGAAGAAGCAGCAGCAGCAGCAGCAAGAGTAGAAGGACAGTGAGGGGGTAGAGGAAGAGGAGAGGAGGGACAGACGGGGCGGATGTAGAGATAGAAGAGAGGAGGTGAGAGGAGGCGCAGGAGGGGAGCGGGGTGGAGGAGGGGGCGGGAGATGAGGGTGAGAAGGGAAGAAATGCGAGCAGCGGAATTCGCTGAAGGACATGGAGCGAGGAGGATTAGAGGAGGGAGAGGAGGAGGAAGAATGGACTACCGGGAGGATGAAGAAGAGAGAAGGAGACACAGAGAAGGGGAGTAGAAGGAGGAGACGAGGAGAAGGGCGAGATGAGGATGAGTCGGAGAAGGAGGAGGAGAAGGGGGGGAGGAGGAATGAGTGATGGAAGGTGGAGAAAGGAGGAGGAAAGCAGGAGTTGATTAATAGGAAGGAGTAGTAGTAGGAGATGAGATTAGTTGGAGTAGGAGGGTGGAGATATGTAAGATGCTGAGGATGGGGACAAGGAGGATGGAGGAAGGGGTGGGATGAACGTTGAGGAGCAGCTTGAAGGAAGAGGAGAACGCAGATTGAGGATGAGTAGGAGAAGATGGATTAAGAGATAGGAGGGGGAATGTAAGTGCAGGAGAGGGAGTAGTGGGTGGCAGAGGCTAATGAGGAGAGGTGGGGGGGGGGTGAGTAAAGGGGCGGGAGCAAAGGAGAGGGATAGGAGGAATTATGAGGGTGGTGTTGGAGCCATGATATGAGGGAGTAGGGGGGGAGGCAGGGAGGGGGAGTGAGGTAGGTAGTGAGGAGGAGGAGGAGGAGGAGGAAGAAGGAGATTGGGCTTGGGTGGGGCTGGAAGCTGGCAGTGGTCGGGCTGGCGCTGCGATCCTGACATATTGGCGCTGTTGCGCTGTGCAGGTCTGCCAGCTCACCGTCCTCGACGAAACATTGGTCTCCGAGAACCTCAGTGGGCTCCTTGAGCGGGGGGTGGCAGGAGGCGCGGGGGGGGAAGGTCCCTGCTCCTGAACCTACTCCTTCTCCTCCTGGCAGCCTCCCAATCCCTGCCATCGCCTCCGCCCGCCCCCCTCCCCCCTCTAGCCCGCCCGCCGAGCCCCCCCCCCGAGCTGCCGCGCGCCCCTCGCCACAGGCCCCCCCGCCCCTGCCCCTCCTCCGGCCCTCCCCCCCTCCCCCTCTCACCCAAAAGCCGCGACAGAGAGGGGCGGGGAAGAATGGGGGGGCCGACGGGGGTGCCGCAGCGCCCTGGAAACGCTTATTTTGGGAGCCCAGGGGGGGGGGGGTCGTAACCTGCAGTGGGTTGTAAGGTACAGGAAGTCTCGCGCGGGAACCCCACTCCGGCAAGCCGGGCCCCCCCACTACTGGTCCCGGCACCCAATCCCGCGGCCCGAAAATTCCTACATTTCCACTCGGAGGGGAGGGGTGCTGGAACCCGCGAAGGGACCCAAGAGCCAGCGGCCAGCGGGGCGAGGGGCGAAGGGGCGAGCGGGGGGGGGAGGAGCGGGCGAGGGCGGAGGAGGGCGAGCAGGACAGGAGAGGCGGGAAAGGAGGGCATGCGATGGTGGAGAAGGAGGAAGAGGAGAAGGAGGAAGGGAGGGTTGGGGAGAGGAGTGGAGGGGGGGGCATGCATATGGGCAGAGGGAGCGAGCGGCTGAAGGGGAGGGGGGGGAAGGGACAAGGGGGGAAAGGGATCGAAGAAACGGGCAAGGACATTATACAATCTGGCAAGGGATAGGGCGAGAGCGCGAACGGGGAAGGGCGGAAGGGGACGGGAGAAAGGAGAGCGAGCAGCGCAGGAGAGGAGGGGATAATCGATCAGGGGAAGGACGGGAGGGATGAAGGGAGGAGAAAAAAGTTAAGGAGAGGAGTATACGGGAGGGGGGGGGGCTTGGGCGCGGAGGGAGAAGGGGGCGCGGAGGGAGAAGAGGAGGGAGAGGAAGGGGGGGAAGCCATGGAGGAGACAGACTGGGAGATGCTACACCTAGATAAAGAGAGGGGCGAGAGTGAGAACGGTAGATGATAACAGCGAGAGTGGAGCGAGAATAAGAACCATAGCGAGCGTGATAGTTAGCAAGACACCGAGGGCGAGAGGCAGAGCAAGAGTTAGAGCGAGAGTGGAGCGAAGAGCGGGAGCGGGAGTGGGAGTGAGATAATCGCGAGGAGTGGGTCTGGGACTGAGAGCGAGAGCGAGGCTGGAGGCGGGAGTGAAAGTGGATAGGTGGACGAATAATGGAGTGGAACAAGAGAGCAAGCAACCATGGACGCAATGGACACGAAAGAGATCAATGCAATCCTGGGGTAATGCATGGGCGCACTTGCCAGTGATGGGGTCCATCAACACCGCCATGCATACAGAATAATCAGTTCCAATTTTAGTGCCATCTGGTCCAGACATAGATACCTTCTGCTTGCCCTGCCAGGCGACGCGAGGGGCGGGCAGCGCGGATGCAAATTAAAAGAGGATGATCACATAATATAGAGATGACCTCATGGCCCCTCGTCCTCGAGACCCCCTTCCCCCTCCTTCTCCTCCTTGCTTCTCATTCAGCCGCCTCCCTCGCGCTCCCCCTCCACCAGTCGCTACTCCAATCCCCTCCAACATCAGCGCCCCCTGACATCCGCCCGCCCCGCAGCTTGCACCGCCGATGCTGCGGCGCAAGCCTGGCGCTGCGAGAGACGGCGACCAGCCGCCGAGACGAGAGGGCGGACCAGAGAACGAGAACAAAACTACAGAGGTGGGACAAAGCCGCACAGCGGTCCTTGAAGAGCTCGCGCGTGGCGTTCACGTACTGGACCAGGCACCTCTCGGTCAGCCTCGGGTTGGAAGCATGGTAGCACTGGGACTGCTCGTGGTTCTGGCCGACCGTCCCGCCGACTAAGTCGAGGGTGCAATCGCGCTGGGGGTACTCCTTGCACATCACCGCCTCCACCCTGGCGCCAAGTATCTGGATGACCTGGGAGCGCGCGTTCACAATGCAAAGGCAAGGGGGGGCACCGCCACGGGCGATGGCCAGGCAGAACGCGCGCGCGGCGCGGGAGATGAAGGCGACGACTGAGACGACAGAGGGGCGCGCGAGGAGGGGGCACCACGAGGCGAGGAGGGGCAAGGCGGGGCGCCAACAGGGCGAGGGCGGACGGGGACGGGCTGCGAACATGACAAACCCCTTCCATGCGACGGGCGACCCCACTACTCGAGAACCTCTATCCTGCGAGAGGCTACCCAACAAAGGCAACTGACGCCATGGGGTAGCTCGAGCACTGCCACCCGACCCCGCCCCGCCCCCAGACCTGCGCGAACGCGCCAGTCAGCAGAGCCGACTTCTCCTGGCACGAGCCGTTGTGGAGGCCAACCACAAAGTCAATGAGGGCCACGCCGTGCAAGCTCAACAACCGATCCATCTGCTTACTGCGCTTCTCGCACTGCGGGACACCTCCGTTCTCGTAGGCCGCCGCCGCCTCTGTCAGCGAGACGACGCCCGCGACGACGCGCACTGTAATAGGGCATCTGCCAGCCCAGATCTCACCAACCTCCCCTCCCCCGGCGGCGCCAGCGCACAGGAGCTCACAGAGACGCGCCGCCGCGCGAACGACGCTCGGATGGGAACAGAGGGGAGGTGGAGGAGAGAGCGGGAGAGGAGGCGGATAACGAGGAGGGGAGGGGCGAGAAGGGGCACGGGAGGGGATGAGCAAGAAGGAGAGGCGGAAGATGAGGAGGAAGAGGAGGAGGAGGAGGGGGGAGGCGGGGGAGGGAGATGAGAGGAGGAGGATGAGCGCGACGACGAAGACGACGACGATGAGACGGGGAAGGAGGAGCAGCAGGAACAGGAGGAGGAGAAGGAGGGGAGGGACGGAGGATGCAGGCGGAGGGAGGGGGAGGGGCGGGGTGAGGAGGGGGGAGGAGGAGGTGGATGGGGATGGGCGAGGGAGGTTGTTGCCCTCGCCGCATTGCTCTGCAACGCC